ACACGCTCCCCCTGGGAGGGGGCCAGCGCCACCCCCCCTTGTTTCGAGGGCAGGCGGGCCCTGTGCCATGGGGAAGCCCAGGGCCATGTCCCAATTCCACAGCCACCAGGAGGAGCAGCCCCAGCCAGGAGGTCCAACTCCTGGCCAGTGACCCCTTCTCTGGTGTCTCCACATCCCCTGACCCCTGCCTGGTGGGTGTGCCCGTCCAGGGACCCCTCCCTTGCAGCTGGAGCTACTTGGGCACCCAGGGGACAGGCGGTTCCTCAGCAGGGAAGCTGCCCAGCCCATCTCGGGAACAGCTCACTCAGACTTTATGATGATGCAGCGGCAACATGTCTGCCTTTACCTGTGACCAGCCCCAACTGAATGGGGCAGTGGCCCGACGAGCTCTGGCCTTGAGGGCCGGGTAGGCTGGCACCCCTGGTTGCTCAGCCTGGCATCTCCCTCAGGACCCCTCTCTTTGAACCCCCCCAGAAAGTTTTCCCTGCCATGGGAGGGCCGCACCCCTGAAATCCCACACCCAGTCCTCCAACGCCAGTCAGAGCCACGGCCATGGCCGCCTGGAGTTCAGATGCAGCACAGGCTGAAGGGACCACATGTGGGAACCATTGCCAAGCACACCCAGTGGGACCAGGGTGAGGAGTGGCTGCCACCCTCTCCTTCCCAACCCTCCCACGACCCAGAGAAGCAACCCACCCTCTCCCATCATGGATACAGGTGACACCCCCCAGGCCGGTCCCACCCTACATTTTCCTGGCAAAGCGTGGAGTCAGCACGGATACAAGACGTTTCCCATGACCACAGGCCAGGCCAGCAGCTGCTGGCCAGGTAGGTGCATCCTGGAGCCCATCCCCCACGGGAGGGCCGGCACCAGGGCAGGAGCCTGTGGGGAGCCCTTGGCACACAGGGGAGAGGAAGAACGGCCAAGAGCAGCTTTGAGCTGGAGAACCTCCCAAAGGGCTGTAGGGCCAGCTGGGAGCCTCAAACCACACTCAGAACCACTCAACAAAAGCTTTCGAGCAGCACTTTTTATATTAAGAAATAAATTCAAACTCATTTCATAATCAAAGCAATTTCTGCAAAGCATGTAGGCTGCACAAGCGAGAGCGTGGGAACCCGAGTCCACTTGAAGAGGCGCTGCCCTGCTGCCCTGAGATGAGGGCGGCCAGCTCTGCCGGGTCTGCAATGGCCCCACCCCCCTGGCTTTAGGTCAGGTGACCCACTTTCAACACACCTGGTGTGTGTGTGTTGGGGGGAGACCAGGTCCACCCCTTAGGCCTGGGCGAGTACACACAGTGAGCATGGCCAGGGCACCGCGGATGTCAGACCCACAAGTGACCCTGGCTTCACCTCACTCCCCCCAGCCGTCAGCTCTGCTCAGCTCGTTAAATGAATAAACATCATTTTAAAAAACAATGTAAACACATAGCTGCCGACCAGGGTGAAATGCGACAGGGAGAGCCCAATGCCGCCCCTGCAGGTGCCAGGCGGGCGCCAGGGGCGCCAGCACAGTGAGCCGGCCTGGAGGGCGGACCAGGCAGCTGTTCCCACCCACCAAGCACAGCACGAGAAAGCGGGCCAGCTGGGAACACGTCTGAGACCCAAAGAAACTTCTGGAGCAGCCCAGTGGCTGCAGCTACAGTGATGGTGTGGGGGCCTCAGAGAGGACGGCCCCCTCTCGAGCGTTGTGCCCACTAACCGCACACCCAGCACGGAGGTCAGGAGGCTGTGGGATATACAGTGCGAGAAATCATTTTTATTTTTAGCTTTTACCCCCCGATAAGAAAGAAGTACAGTGAAGAAGTGGGCACACACAAGTTAAGCCAGGGCCTAAACGACAATGAGACAGAGATGGAGAAGCATAGAGTGACTATGACGGGAGATCGGGAGGCAGAGGTGCTGGACACAGGCTCCTGTGCCGTCTGCACGCACGCGGACAGGCTCTGGGAAGGGGTTACACTCGAATTTCAAATCCATGTTTAGGGACAACTGGTCACGTGTTCAAAGCCCACTAACATGTCTGGAGGCAGGCTTCCACTTGCTTTTTAAGGCAAATGGGTTTGTAATTTACAAAGCCGCTATCCACCGAAAGGTTTCAAACAGCCCAGAGCCTCCTGACAGACCAGCCCCTCCTCCCGGGCCCGTGGCGCCCGCGCAGCTCCAGGCTGGCCGTTCCACACTAGAAGCAGGTGACGTCTTTCCACCAAAGGCTCCCCAAGGACGCTCCGGCTCAGCCGGGCTCCTCAGCAGGAGCTGGGGCTCCCAGGAGGAAGCTCAAGTGTGGAAAATGACCCCCCGGAGCTACCCGAGTGCCCACAGGAAACACTACGTTCAAGCCCCTCTGTATTCATGTGAACTCGTGGCAAAGGGAAGAAAATTTAAGATCAAGGGGGAAAATGTGCACTTAAAAACGAACAGTTTGAGGCCAAAGATGTCATCAAGCAATACTTCAAATGCAAGAAATGGAACAAACTTGGCATTTGTTTCTCAAAAAGAAAAAAGACCGTCCGATGCACACAACATGGACAACCTCAAACCCCGCTGGTGTGAGCCGCGGCCAGGAGACGAAGCATCACGTCTCCAGCTGCAGACCGCCACAAGAGGGGCACCCCCTGAGAGGGTGGGCAGTGCAGGGCTGGGAGAGCTGGGACGGAAGCAAGGTTCTGGAAGCTGCCAAGACGGCGGCACAGGCCTGGGAGACGCACGGAAGCCACGGGCTGCCCCTTGGATGGACAGATTGCACACACCACAGACCACCCTTTTCGAGTTCCCTCGTTAACGCAACTCAGAAGAGATTTCGTCTGGAGGGTCAAATGAACTCGTTTCTCGAACTGTTAGTAAACAATCCCCAAAAGGAAAATGGTCACGAAACCGTGACTAACTGAATTCCTGCTCCTGCTGGTGGAGAAAACCACCAGCTATTTAATCAAGTCCTTGGCTCCTAATGGGACAACTGGCCAAATCTTACTGAGGCCAGTCCTTGTGAATGCCATGAGGCCAGTGCACGCAGGGACCTGAGGCCTGGCTGCCCCGGGCAGATGCAGGCCGCCTCCAGAACCTGTCTCTCCATGGAAAAGTCATTTGCCGGCCCTGGCCGGCGTGTCTCAGTGGTTGAGAGCATCAGCCTGCACACTGAAGGGTCTCAATTCCCAGTCAAGGGCATGTACCTGGACTACAGATTCCATCCCCAGCTCTGGTCAGGGTGGGTGTGGGAGGCAACCAATGTGTCTCTCTCTCCCCCTCGCTCTCTCTAAAAACCAATGGAAAAAATATCCTTGGGTTAGGATCAACAACAAAGAAAATTCATTTGTCCCACGTTACATCTTAAAACAGCGGTTCTCAACCTGTGGGTTGCGACCCCTTTGGGGGTCGAACGACTCTTTCACAGGGGTTGCCTAAGACCATCAGAAAACACATATATAATTACATATTGTTTTTGTGATTAATCACTATGCTTTAATTATGTTCAATTTGTAACAATGAAGTTGGGGGTCGCCACAACATGAGGAACTGTATTAAAGGGTCGCGGCATTAGGAAGGTTGAGAACCACTGTCTTAAAATATTTTTCTAGCTTTCTACTGGTTACTAGAGGCTCGGTGCACAAAATTCATGCATGGGTGTGTGTGTGTCCCTCAGCCCAACCTGCACCCTCTCCAATCTGGGACCCCTCTCATAATCCAGGACTACTGGCTCTCAACTGCTCACCTGCTTGCCCTCTAACCACTCCCCTGCCGGCCCAGTCCCCCCCAAGTGCCCTCCCCTGCTGGCCATCTTGTGTCCACATGGAGGCAGCCATCTTGTGTTGGAGTGATGGTCAATCTGCATATTCCTCTTTATTATATAGGATAACCACCACTTCTGCAAACACCAACCAGGCATCCTGTCCCAGCCACGGGGCTTAGCTCTTAGCTGCACGAATCAGGAGCAAAAGAGGAAGCAAGCAAATCGCTAGACCCCCGAGCCAGACGCTGGTCCCATGGCTCATCAAGGATCCCCCTCGTGTGCACTGCCAGGGTGAGCCACTGATGGCCCTCCCCTCCCCGCCCGCCTTCTGGACGTTTGCAGTGTTTAGTGACCCCTGGAGCAGACGCCCTCCATTACTGGTCAACAGCTGCACTTGGGTCACGCTAAGCACCAAGCACAAGGTTGTTCTGCCCCTCCCCCACCCTCCAGGACACAGAACTTACACCCACGTGAAGTCAATCAAGCAATGAAGGTGTCCTGTTCCCCCCACATGCCCAGAGCTTTGTGGGGGCAATCAAGAGGGGAGGGGGGTCGTAACCGGTTTGGCTCAGTGGATGGAGCGTCTGCCTGCGGACTGAAGAGTCCCAGGTTCGATTCCGGTCAAGGGCATGTACCTTGGTTGCGGGCACATCCCCAGTAGGGGGTGTGCAGGAGGCAGCTGGTCGATGTTTCTCTCTCATTGATGTTTCTAACTCTCTATCTCTCTCCCTTCCTCTCTATAAAAAAATCAATAAAATATATTAAAAAAAAAAAAGAGGGGAGGGGGCTTTCCTACACAGGGTGGGTTGCCAGGAGACAAGTACTGTTGGTGACAGCGGGCACAGCACCCCCCCACCCCGCTTCCTGACATGGCAGAGGCACGCACGGGGCGGGCAGACACGCGCGCGCGCGAGCAGTTGACTTTGGAACCGATGCTTCGGGGGGACACCGAGTTCTGAAAAGTGGGTTCTGCTCCTGTTGAACGATCAGGGACACGCACATCACCCTCCTGCTCAGAGTCCCTCTGGATTTCATCTTTTAAAAATGTGTCAGCTGCCGGCCGCTGTGAAAGGGCCTCTGTGAGCACGGAGGGAGTGTGCAAACACACCACCCCGTTCTCGCTGCTCCCGTGGGTGTGAGCTTAAACGTGAACGCTGCTGACAGAGAATCTTCAGAACCAGCCAGGGCCTCACGATAAGCTCCAAGCACGCGGAAGCCTGGGGCTAAAGCCCAGCTCTTCCCAGGAAAAGGGACCCTGGCTAACGCTGCTGCCGGGCTAAGGGCAGCCTCAGCTCCAAGGACCCGGAGACTGTCCTGAGGCTGCTCCTCTGCCAGCCAGCGCCTGGCCTCCCCTCCTGGCCCAAGAATGTGAGCAGGGCAGTAGCTCCAACATGGAGACAGGACACAGGTGAGGACTCACCACTGGAAACACTCGGGGAGCTTCCTCCAATGCAGGCTCTGCCTGGGGTTCTGAGAAAGGGCCCAAGAGCAGGCACTGCCCCAGCTGTGAGGGCTCCCGCCCGCCCAGCACGCCACCCGGGGGACTGGCTCCAGGTGCCACCCAGACCCCCAAGGCCCGCTGCAGTACCGACAGGAAGTGCCTGTTTCTGCCCCAGTGCCCCCACCCACCAGCTACAAGACCTCCGGGCCACTCCAGCTAACGAATCTAGACGGACAGAGAACACCTGTGGCCTATTGACACCTGTGCCAACATGGAGACCAAGCGTTCCATTTGGTGCTACATCCCTTTCACCCGAATTCAGCTGGGTTCCACCCTGAGAACTACACGTCACGCATTGACGCAGAAGCCCAGGAGTCCACAGCAGCACAGGGTGGTAGGTGCCCGGTCAAAACCCCAGCAGCGATCACCTTAACCACACACAGCTCGGTGCCACGTTCACAAGACTATATTTAAGAAGTACCTTCCCCTTAAAAACCACGTGAGGACAGAGTGAGCAGATGCCACCTGCAAGCTAAGGAGAGGGGCCTCCGAGAGGCCAACTCTGCCCACACCTTGACGGGGGTTTCTGCCCTCTAACTCTGAGAAAATAAATGTGCTATTTAAGCTAAAAACGAACAAAGCACAAAACCCTTTCTTCCGTGAGCCTGAGGGAGCAGAGCCGGCCTGTTGCCTGTGCCTGATGCGAAGCAAAGTTCCTTCAAGTCGTCCCTCTGCTCACACACGAGGCCGTTCCTGGACCTGACCTTCCAGGGACATCACCCGAGTGGGTGCAGCAGCCGGCGGTGTGGTCAGTGCTCAGGAAGCAGGCGGCCCTGCAGCGAGAAAAGTAACGGAGCCTGCAGTTCCCTCCCCCATCTCCTCTGTGTGATATCGTGACCTTGTCACCGTGGACTTTCCGTATCTGTCTGCGTGCCCTAGTGTCCACGCCCCCAGGGTGCTGACCCTGCACTGCCCAAGCAGCACTAGAAACGCACTTAGTTCTCTGAGCTGAGAAGACTCAGCACAGCACACGGCGGCGGCCACGACCCACCCGCCTCCCAGATGCCCGCCATGGGTCAGCACAATCCCTGTGCCACAGACCACCACACTGGGGTCTTGAAAAGGGGACTCGCTGGGATACAGCTCCTTGTCTTTCCTAAGGAGATCGTTGTACATCTGATCATATGTCGTTTTGAAATCATAAACGTTGGGCTTGTCGGGCGCTGGCCCTGGGAGCTTCACGTGAGTCCCTGTTCCGAAGGACCGGACACTGAATCCCCGTTTGCTGAAAGACACAAAAGAGAAAAGATCACAGCTGGGTTAAGTCAGACACGGACCCTGCAAGCGAGGGGCGTGAGGTGGGAGCAAACAAATGAGTAATCCTGTTGGTCTTTGCGAGCATGCTTTTAAATACTAAACTTTAAGTACTTTATTCACATTTTAGAGTCATGTAGCCTGTTACACAAAAACCAGATGAAACCGAAAATAACGGAGACGCAGGGCTGCCTGCCACGCTGGTTCTCTCCCACAACACGCTCCGCACCTTCGGCGGGCCCAGTGCGCAGCGGGCACGACAAATGGCTGCTGGATGAACGGGACACAGGCCGCACTCAGGCGGAGCTGCTGAGTGACTAGGAAGCCTCTGGATGAGGTGCTGGCATCCGAGTGTCCAGCTGGGAACGCCGGTGTCACCGCCACCCGACCCCTCACTTCGGGGGCTCCCGCCACCCACACGCACCTGCAATCAGCCCCAGCACCGTCGGCGGCGGCGCTCAGCCACCCAGACCGGACCTGCAGGTCCATCCGCACAGAGGGCACTTCCTGCCCCTGAGAGAGGGTGAGGGGCAGCACTGCACCGAACCCAGAGCTGGTCAGAGAACACGGGAAACAGACGAGTGGCCAACCAACCAAGGGCCAGGCACTCAGCGGTGACATTCCCCCCGGGCCGCCACTGCCCATCCCGACGGAGAGGGAGGCCAGGCGTAAGGACGTCCGCAAGTGTGTGCTGTGGCCAGAGGGTAACAGGCCCAGCCACCAATCAGACTTGCTGACCACCTCTGCCCAGTCCCCACCCTGCCCCTCACCAATCCAGGTAACATACAAGAACAGGAGTATTTTCTGTCAAAGCCCCAACCAGCCCGACAAGTCACCTCAACCATGGCGGTGGGAAGCAAGCAGAGACAGGAACCCACCGCCTGCTCGATCCCCACAGGGGTCATGGTCATCCAGGCTGGCCGCACCTGCTTCTCTGGAGGTCACTTTCCCCTAAGCTGGCCTCCCAGCTGACCACTGCCCCACAGGAACTGCCCCAACAAGCCACTTCCCCTGCAAGTGCCCTAAAGCTGCTGCCCACGCTCCAGCAACCTCACGGCTATTTAATGGGAAAAATGTCCACCTCAAGGAAAAGAGTGAATTATTCCTCAGACCAACCCTTTCCGCAGAGTGTGGGACCCACCAGCCCGCACGGCTCCTCCCGAGGGCAGAGGGACTCATGGGAAAGCAGGGCGCCGAGAAGCCCACAAGCACCAACTCCCCCACCTCTTCGCCGGTTCACCCCCAGGGCACCAGGAGCTGCCTCTCCGGCCAGCGGGAGGGATGCGCTGAGACCCACAGCTCCCCAAGGACCGGCGTGGAGCTGAGGCCTGTGCCCAGAAGGCAGGGTCGTCCCTGTGGAGGGAGCAGCCAGGCCTGGGCCTCCACCGAGAGCTGAGCAGCACGTGGGCCGAAGGCGTGCACTAACCAGGGAGAACACCTGTGGCCAGGAGAGCCCCCAAGTGCGAAAGCAGCTGCTCAACACGTACCTGGACCCACGCTGGGTCTGTCTCCAGAGGCCGCACGTGTTTCACGAGCCCTGTCTCCTGGCGGTCGCGCTAAACAAGTCACGTGAAACCACACACAGAAACACCGCTCCCTCAGCTGCGCAGACCCTGAAACGGAAGGCCTGTGGCAGCCCTGTGGCGAGCAAGTCTACGGTGGCGTTTTCTTTTAAAAAAAAAATACATTTTTATCGATTTCAGAGAGGGAGGGAGAGGGAGAGCAACAGAAACATCAATGATGAGACTCACTGACGGGCTGCCTCCTGCAGGCCCCCTCCTGGGGACCAAGCCCGCAACCCTGGCATGTGCCCCTGCCCAGAATTGAACCTGGGACCTTTCAGTCCACAGGCTGACGTTCTATTCCACCGAGCCAAACCAGCCAGGGCTACGGTGCCACTTTCTAGCAGGCTAAGATGATGATTACCACTTTTTAGCGATAAAGTGTTTTTCCTAGTCCTGTGGTCAGCAAACTGCGTCTTGCAAGCCACATGTGGCTCTTTGGCCCCTTGAGTGTGGCTCTTCCTAAGCCTTAGGAGGACCCTAATTAAGTTAATAACAATGTACCTACCTATATTGTTTAAGTTTAAAAAATTTGGCTCTCAAAAGAAATTTCAATCGTTGTACCGTTGTATTTGGCTCTGTTGACAAATGAGTTTGCCAACCACTGATCTAGACTCCTATTCATTAGGGTTTTACTGGTACCTGCACTAAAAGCAAGCACACAAAACAAATAAAATAGCAGTTTGCATGACACTGGAGACCAGGCAATGAAGGGCAATGTGCATTGCCCACTAAGGTATGTACATTGTTGGTTTAGACCAGGGGTGGGCAAACTTTCTGACTCGAGGGCCACAATGGGTTCTTAAACTGGACTGGAGGGCCAGAACAAAAGCATGGATGGAGTGTTTGTGTGAACTCATATAAATTCAAAGTAAACATCATTACATAAAAGGGTACAGTCTTTTTTTTTTTTTTTTAGTTTTGTTCATTTCAAACGGGCCGGATCCGGCCCCGCAGGCCGTAGTTTGCCCACGGCTGGTTTAGACAGTGCTACTGCACACTTTAACAGACTGCAGTGCAGCGTGCACATCCATGACTTATGTGTGCGGGAAAACAAAACACACAGGACCTGAGGGCGTCTGGAACGCACCCTGCAGTGTCTCAGCTGTGATGCAATGAGGTAACTGGATATTCGGGAGAGAATTTTTGGGGTCGAGGCCAGCTGGCGTAGCTCAGTGTCACTGAGCGTCAACCTATGAGCCAGGAGATCACGGTTTGATTCCTGATCGGGGCACATGCCTGGGTTGTAGTCTCGATCCCCATTAGGAATGTGTGCAGAAGGCAGCCGATCAATGATTCTTATCATTGATGTTTCTGTCTCTCTCTCCCTTCTCTGAAATCAATTAAAAAATATATTCTATAAAAAAAGAAAAGAAAAAAGAGTTTCTTAGGCCCTGGCCGGTTAGCTCATTTGGTTAGAACATTGTCCCGATACACCAAAGTTCAGGTTCAATCCCGTCATGGCAGGAACCAACCAATGAATGCATAAAAAAGTGGAACAACAAATCAGCGTCTCTTTCTCTAAAAGCAACGACAAAAAACAAGTAAGGAACATATTAAAATGAGCCTAAGCACAGCCACACTTGAAATCACTGACGAACTATCCAGCGAGTCCATCCAGCGAGTCCATCCGAGCCACAGCACAGGAGTCAGGAAGCCCCGATGGTGACATTTCAAATGTGAAAAACCACCACTTCTCCTGGCAGCAGGTTTACCTTCCATTTTGATTCGACAGTATTTCCTGAAGCTCACTATGTGCTGGGGACACGCAGTGGTCAAAACAGACCCAATCTCTCTCCTCAGCTCCTGGGGGGATGAGAAAATAAACAAAACATCCAGGACACAGGACAGTGAGTAGCACGCCCAGAGGGCTTCTGGGAGACCCCCTATAGCAGTGGTTTTCAACCTTCCTAACGCCGCGACCCTTTAATACAGTTTCTCATGTTGTGGTGACCCCCAACTTCATTGTTACAAATTGAATATAATTAAAGCATAGTGATTAATCACAAAAACAATATGTAATTATATATGTGTTTTCCGATGGTCTTAGGCAACCCGTGAAAGGGTCCTTCGACCCCCAAAGTGGTCGCGACCCACAGGCTGGGAACCGCTGTCCTATAGAGCCTTCCCCTCTACCTGCTGCAGCTGTCTGGGTCCGACCTGCGGGGATGCCACCTGGCAGGCCTGTCTCCTGCACTCATCGCGTCATGCTGGGTCTGAGGTTTCACTGGGTGTCTAGACGGAACACTCCCCATATCCCTGACAGGAACTCATCCCCAAGGTAACTGGGCCCAGCCTTCCCCACAACCAACGCCCAGACAAGGCTCCTCGCTGGCTGGGTTTCTCTGAGGAACTGCCTGTTGCCATCCTCACCGCCCTGCAGACGCTGAGAGCGCCACCAACCATGTTTAAAAATAAGATGAATGCAGTTTGTTCCTCCCCCAACAAAATGCTCACAAGTGGCAAAGGCTAATTAGCAGCAAAGCCCTGCTTCCTCTAAGCTGGTGCAACGAAAGAACAGCCATCCTGCGTGTGACAGCTGTGCCGTGTGACAATTTGTTTCTTACATAAGAGAGCCGAGGGCTAGAATAAAATTCCTGACAACAGGCTTTGTTTCAACGGCCAGCTATCTTCTATGTGAATCTAACCTTCCAGACACGTGTTCAGCAAACACCTTCGCGAGCACAAAAATCTTTCATCAAGAGCCTCTCTGCCCCGGCTGGTGTGGCTCAGCTGGTGGGGCATGTCCTCTACACCAGAAGGTGGCGGGTTTGACTCCCAGTCAGGACACAAGCGGAAGACAATTGATGGATGTTTCTCTCCCTCTCCTTCCCTCCCTCCCTCCCCCTCTAAGATAAACAAAACCTATCCAAGACAATGTTAAATGTGGGGGTATAGAATTGTTTCCCTTGTTATCCAACGACTGAAGGGAAAATGCTAACGTTAAGAAGAACACCAGAAGAATCCAGAAGAATGTAAGAGGGTCAGTGCTGTAGTGTGAGCACTAACCTACTGGGAAGCATTCCTCTGGCTAGGAGCGAGCCCAGACCTGCCAGCCTCCCGGGAGCACAGCCTGTGGGGTCAGTGCCCGCACCACGTCCCTCCACAGGGAAGTCACTGCTCCTCAGCCCCCAGAACACAACCAGCTGCTCTAAGCTACCTCACCTACAGTCTGCCTGCAGCTTCACTGTGAGCCGGCCAGGACTGGGAAGACACACTTCTGAAATGTCAACATTCCAATAAAAGTTATGTTCTCACCAGCAAGTTGTGGGCCCTAAACACAATCCAATAAACATGTTCTATGATTTCATTTATGATGATCCCACGGGCCAAGAACGAAACGGAGCGGCTTCTAAGCAGACCTGTGCCTTGAACTTGTGATAAATGTGCCATTTAGACTGCCCGGCTG